CTGAGCTTTGTAAAAGGGCAAATTCAGACTTTTGTTTATTGAAGACTGAGAGATTGGAAAGGTCATCTATTAATCACCCACATCTTTTAAACTGTTTAGTAATCAAACACACAGTCATTTCTGCTTAGTTAGGTCAAAAGCAGCATCAAATCTGACATGAGCTGTCTAGAAATGAACACCTGTTACAGCTTTTCCATGCTTGTACTCTACTTGGAAAATAAAGCAGAGTAGTTTTAATTATTTCAGTAATAACATTTCAATATATTAATATAAAGCCTTCTTGTTTTACTGATTTGCAAGGCAGGTTGTTACTGAAACGGGATCCTTCTGTCAGGTACATCTGATTTGGGTTATTAATTTTATTTTATTCTTCTGCACTAACATATTTATTTAATGTTACACAACATTAATAGTTTTGTTGATTATCCAAGTTCATGGTTCCACTTGTACAAAAGAAAATCACAAAACAATAGCATAGTGTCTCATGAGACATGAAAAGGCAACAGTGGGAAATAATTACTTTACATCAGAAAATCTGAGAAGTATATAGAAGGGCTAATCAAAGAGATGAGCTTCCTAGCTCATCTATTAAGTCCTTCAACACATTACTGATCCATACAGTAAACATGTATGATGTCAGCAAACCAGCCAACAAAAGAATTGAACTAAACCAATGAGAGATAATAGTACAATAATAAATAGGTAAGTAACATTTTCATGTTTATTTATTTTGGTGGTGAACCAGGGCTTAATCATCAGGAACACTTCAAAATTCCAATTATTGAAGTATTATTTCCAAAATAAAAATTGGAAATCTGAATGCAGCTGCAGCTTTAGAATGTAGTGCAGTGAAGGAAACTGTGGCGCCCACCATTTTACATGTAGATAGCAGTCTTAGACTTTCAGCTTATCCTACTTTCAGGAGGGGAGCTCCAGCAGTGCATCAGTGTGTGAGCTTTAAAAGAACAAGCAGACGATAATTTCTCACTGCAAAGTACAAAGAAAGAAGAAAAAACACACCTCCAGCTGACCTCACACCTGAAGAAGACTCCATTGCCAAAACACTGTGCTTTTTCTTGCTTTATACTCTTCAGTGTGGAATTAACCTCTGCTGGTCCCATTTTTTTGTTAATCAGCCTTATGATTGAGACTAATCAGCTTGAGCCCAGAAACCATTAGTAATTCAACTAATTCAAACATGATTAGAAGTCATTTCCCTGACAACAGTATAATCTCTGAGCTGTATCGTGCATTTATTTTACAGGGATCAAAATAAAAGGTTATACTTCAGTCAAGATGGCTATTTTGTTTTCCTGACAAACCAAAAATACCTGAGACACATGCAGTTTTAATGCAAGTGTATAATAATAAAATAAGTTCAGGGTAGCCTAACTCATGGATTCTGACCTTCAAAAGTAAAGTTTTTCAAGACATATCTACAGTTTGTTATACTATTAGAGCAGATTATCTCCTGATATTTGTTTTAGTGCCTCTGAATCACCATTGCAGAGAAATGAGAAACGCTGAACAAGTGGTGATTAAGAGTATAAACTCCTCAACACAAGGTTATGTTTCCTGTTGGGAAGTTCACCTCCAGCCCAAGAGAACAGACGGTCAGTCACCTACAACATGGCATCTCAGAGAGCTCTGCCCAGCAATCCAGGGGTGTTCATGCCTCACATTGACAAAATGTGAACCACGAAAAGAGTTACTCTTCAGATGTAAGATGTACTGTAGGTGAATTCTGAAAGGCCACATAACACTGCTTATAAATGTTCTTGTCCCTGTTTTTGCCTTTTGCGACTCTGCATGCCTTGGTTGTAAATTGTTTGAGAAGGAATTTAAAGTTTTTGATGCAAAGTGACTCAATCAAGCGTGTTTTAATTTCCAAATCTCCTCGATATAGCTTTTAGCTCTCTCTTGATCCTATAAAACACATAAAAGCTACAGACCAACACTGCATTCACACTGGTTTAAAAAAAGACTATAATAGCACAAATCTGAAACAGAAATGCTTCAGTCTTTTAACAAAGATATATTTTGATACACTATATGGAATTCAGACTTTTGCAATGGTTTTACATTCAACAGCTCCATCTACTGGAAGATGAAGACAGATAAAGACAAAGAATAGGGGACAGATTTGGAAATCCATGGAAATTCAAGATCAGCTGCTTCAAAATGACTCAGAGAAACTGTGAGATAAAGCAAATACAGCCATGCGCAGAAGAAACGAAAACCTTTCTGAGCTCATGCAAGATTCTTTCGAAAAGGACTATGACTGGTATCTCAATATATAGCTGGATCATAGCCGTAATGTTTTCCTTATTCTGCATACATGCATTTATGCATGCATAGGCTGCATAAGGAGAAGTTTAAAGTACTTCCAGCTGTGTCTGCACTGGTGTGGAATTTATCTAACCATCTGGCAACATTATTCAAGGTCCAAAAGGCCCAAGGGAAAGGTACAGAGTTTGCAACTGCATTTCCTGGGCTCAAGACAGACATATCTGCAATAAAATATTTTAAGGACCTTAGCTCTTTCAGGTTAGAAACTGTAGCACCCACTATATAGAACTGCAGTCTTAAACTTTCAGGTTTTCCCATGTTCTGAGGTTTTAGCAGGGAGCTACATCAAGGTTAGTTGTCAGCAGTTGTTTTTATTACAAAGAGTACTGCTGAGGACATTTTTTTGTTGATTTCTTTCAAAACCTTACACAAAGCTTAACAAAGATTATCTTTGACCACTGGATCTCTCTCTCATCATTTGCCTTGTCTTTCTGGACTTTCCATCTTGGGTTTAACTCCAATATGACACAACTTATATCATTGCCAGGACGGACTGGAAGTGGATTCAAGATTTTCCAAGGGACTGCTAATGGTCTCCTTTCACAGCCACCTCTTAGTAAGATGAAGGCTGAAAGTGAGTCAGCAAGCAAGACTCTCTTAAAAGGCACATGTTCTTATTTTCCCTGTTGGCAGACATTGTGAAAACTGCTCAATCCATAGCATACGAATCAGACTGAAACTCTCCCACAAGCAAAATTGGGTGCATTGTCAAATTCTTTATCTCGACAGTCTATTCACTGCTCAACAAAATTCTCTATGCTGCAATTTAATCCTGCTGTCACAAGAAACACGTGGGCCAGCAAACGACATTCGTGTGTCCGTCTTGATCATGATGAAAATTATTCATTTTCTGCCCAGCAGAATGTATGAGGAGAGTGTTCAGGGAGACTAAATCATGGCACTGTGCCATGGTATTGATGGTATTGTGAATTAACCATAGTTTGTTCTCACTCCCAAAAATGCACAAACAAAACTGTCTGTAGGCCATAACTGGATGGGTTGTATCAGTGATTAATCAGAGTAGAAAACGTTTGCCACTGAATATACTGCTATGGATATTCTAATAACCTTCTTAATTAACCTAAATTATTAATGTATTACTTCATGTTGCAAAAAGAAATGTCCATGGCATGCATTTAAAAATTAACTTACATTCTTGCCGATTTTTGAACAGGTTTTTTGGCAAGTTGTGGTCATAATGTGTATAGTATTGTTAATATATGTAATGAGGAGATGAAAGAGACCAATTTCACAAAATGCCAAACCTCCTAATAATGCTGAACATGCTTTCCAGACAGCAGGTGGGAATAAAATTAATTAATATTTCAGAGTTTTATTAAGGTAGCCCATAGAAACATATTCACCAGCGCAACATTCCCTTCCACCTTGATTAGTCACCGATACAACTCAGTGAGCTTCAGAAACTGACAGCTGCTGTCCTTCATCAAGTACTCTCAGCACATAAAGAAATGAAATGAAGCTTCTTTCAAATAAAAAATATTTCATAACTGTTCCATATGAATCTTTTCTGAAGATTTTGTCTGTTTCCTGCAATTCACCTAAGCAAAGCATTCTGGACATTCTATTAATATATCTGTGACATTTCCAGATCTACAGAAATGCCCAAAGAACCTTCACTTTAAAGGACAGGAACAAGCAGTCTCAGAACAGTCCTGTCCAGTCCCTGACCTTGCTTTGTAGGCTTTGCATAATACACTAATGAATGCACTGCAATATTAAAAACTCTTAAAAGACTTCAACCTTCTGCCCCTGGGCTTCAAAATGGAAGCACCAGTTCATAATTAAGTGCTAATCCAATGTCTCCATCCACACCTAGCACACAATCTCAACCACACATATAATTGGCAAAGATACATTAATCCTGAAATTATTGAACTTTAGGGTCTTTAGCACCCAGACAACTTCATCTCAATGCTAATAACCATTATAAGATGACAAGAATTACAGGACACCTATACCTGCGCTCTCCGCTTGTTTAGTTGCAACCATAAGTGGACAGGTCTGGCTGGGCATGAATGAGTTCTCCTAAAAAAGCCTTTACAAGTAATAAAATAAACAGATGATCTGTTTCATAGCAGGAGCCTCCACATGTGGACCACAATGGGAAATGGCTCTGAAAAAATCCTGAATAAATTCCTTGCGATTGCATCTTCAGCCCACAGCTGAGCTGTGGGAGCAAGCTATTTACATTTTGTTGTTTTTATTTACTATGGTTGGCTGACAAGAGAGGCAATTTCAGCTTCCAATGGGATTGATCTAGGCCTACAGATGGCAATTGTTGTGTACAAAAAAGATGTGATGCGTTTCTTTATTTTAACTATTTATTTACTAGAGGGATTCTGTACACTGCATGAAAGCATTTCCAATAATAAACTAACTTGATTTTTGATGCTATGGCACTTGGCTCTTGAATATAATGAACACCTTGTTGGAATTAACTAATACGGAAATTAATGAAAACAAGAAACATCAAAATGTAACAGAAATAGTGTCAACTTGAAGGGTATGAAAGGACTTTTTGAGGGACACACTCAGAAAGCTTTTCCTTTGAGTCTGGTATCCGGAATCTCTGCAGTCTTGCTTGTCGCACTGTAAGGGCTTAACCAAACATGATGATGATGCTCACTTACTTTTCCTTCACCGCCAACGGGAGCCGAGAAAACGTACTCGAGCTGGAAGACGATGCTGAAGGCAGGATGATTCACCATCCCCTTCAGCGGCAGGTAGCTCCTGAGCACAAGGGCGTGCCGCACAGATGAGCTGCATGGGAGCCAGCAAGAGAGACAAAGTAGCAGATATGAAACATGGGAAACATTAAATATTCTTCAATATCGTCGGAGAATCCAATCATTGATGGACGTGACTATTTTTTTGTGCAAACATTTGAAACCTCTTTATTTACAGTATATTAAGCGTTAAGCACTTGAGATAAGGCATAAGTTACATTTACACAGCAAGTTCCTTTCAGAAAAAAATTTTGCTTCGACAAGTTAAATGTGAAATATTTATAAGGATGTTCAAAAGTCTTAGACATCTCATACGCAATCAGTATATACAAAATCATACATATCACTATAGCTTAGTTTGGGTGAGAAGAATGCAAACTTGTCATTCAACAATCTAATTCACATAAATCAGAAGCTTTAAAAACACAACCAGAACAGTTTAAGGTACACATTACATGAGAAATCAAAATAAAGTGCAGTGGTAGCAACTAATATGCCATATTTATCAATCAAACATAACTGACTCACTGTTGGGCATTTTGCATTATTTACTTTTATTTTTCCTCTCTAAACACCCATCAAGTTCAAAGCTACTTTGTACTAAAAAACATAGATCTGGTAGGGATTAATTTTTACCTTAAAACGTAGATCACAATAGCATGTCTAAGACTTCTGAATAGCAGTGTATATATGCATATATAGTATATTTAAAGAATAAGTTAGAGCTGTTCTAGTACTGGGATACCTGTGTCCTTTGAATTGTATTCAAAGTAAACTTTGTTAGTTTGGCTCTTTAACTGTTTGCTTGTATTTTATCAAATGTTTTAGTTTTTAAATAATAGAATTAAGTAATAACTTAGCATAAAATGTGTACCAGGTACTGAATTTCTTCTCTCCTCCCACTCAGGTTTATTATTTAAATGACTTGATTAAATACAACTAATGGGTCGATGCAGAACTAGGACTGCTTAGTATGAGAGTATTTGACAGTGTCACTCCCACTTGTGCCTGCACATCATTAAACAGTAAACAGATGTTTAGAAAGCTGAAAGAGAACAAGTATATCTTCCTAAGCTGAAACAGAGTTCTGCTCACTATATGTCCTGGAAATGACACACATAAACGAGATCCTGTGAGACTAAATCCAAAGTGCACAAGACGATTAAAAAAATTGATTAAGGAAAATAAGCTTACATAAGCTTAAAAAAGAGCTCTGTTGGAATGAAGGCACAGGGGTAAAGCAGACCCAGAACCAGGAAACAGATCTGGAGAATGGTTTTCTCTGTTTATTACAGTTTAACACTATTCCCTACTCTGTGTTTTCACACACCCCTCGTAGAAACATACTGAGAAACTGAAAAGAATAAAACAAGGTCAGACAAACAAGTTTCTAGTCGGTTTTTGAATACCCCAGGAGAGTCAAATTGACAAGTGTTTAAACACAACGTGGCACAGAAGCTGCCAGTTTGCTTCCCAATAACTGCATAATTACTACCTACGCACTGCTATTCATAACACAGTTTTAAAAAATGCTAATGCCATTGCGATATTTTTTGGAGAAGGGATAAAAGAAACTCTGTCCATTTTCAGATTATGGCTCCAAACTGTGTTATTTATGTGGGTACTGCAGAAAAGATTAGACCTAATTTGTTGCACCACAATTTCTGGAGTTTGACATGGTTTACTAGTTCTTATTTATTCATACTTGGCAAATGTCAATTTCAAGATTATTTTCTACTACTAGCACTGATTATTACCATGTTTGAAACATTCGATGACTCTTATTTGCCATGCTCTAGTGCATGATTTGCACTTACCAGTTTACAGAGAAAACACAGAAATCCATAGAAGAGGACTCTAAATTACAAAAGAAAGTAGTCAGTAAGCATTGAGGCAATATTATTAAAGTTAGGATGCACTGCCAACCAGTAACATTTTGATGTTAGATTAATACTAATACATGTTGATGTTACAGTAAGTAGATGAATACTATTGTTAGGATTAATAATAGAACCTGTGTTGAGATTATTATTTGCAATTAACTTTGTTAACATCCTGTGGAGCGGTGGCTCTGTGGCTAAGGATCTGCATCTGTGGCTGGAAGGTTGCCGGTTCAAATCCCACGGCCGGCTGAGGAATCCTACTCTGTTGGGCCCCTGAGCAAGGCCCTTAACCCCAACTGCTCCAGGGGCGCTGTACAATGGCAGACCCTGCGCTCTGACCCCAAGCTTCTCTCCCTGTCTGTGTGTCTGTGTCTCCTTGGAGAAAAGCTGGGGTATGCGAAAAGACGAATTCCTAATGCAAGAAATTGTATAGGGCTAATAAAGAAACATTATTATTATTATTAATGTGTACCCAAGCAGAGTCACCTGAGCTTGGTCAGAGAGCCCTGTCTCCCTCTGAAGCTTCCAGTCCCGCCCCTGGCTTCCTCCGGCTCGGGGTCTAGGACCACCACCTGTGGCCTGTGCAGGAAGCCCCAACCGTTATGAATGCCAACGTGCAGACGGCGCTCCAGGACCACGACCTCATTGCCATCCGGGCCAGAGTTCTCCTGCGGGGAAAGAGGAGACACCAACTGTTTCCACACATACTCAGGCCTGCGCAACCAGGAACACAATGACAGCACGCGGGATGCTCGTCTCCACAGCAGTACCTGACATGCGCATCCACAATTAAGTTCCAATACAATAGCTAAAGTGGGTTATTCCAACTGTTTATAGTTCCAAAAAAGAGCCACAAAAACAAAGCAATACAGATGTAATTGCAACAAAAACCTTGACATGAAGAGTGAAAACCATTATTGAAAGAAAGCTTCAAGCTTAAGATTTAAGACATCTTTGCTGTCAGGTGTAAAAAAGGATTAAATGAGAGCTGTGCCATATTTTACCATTAGTTCTACACAAAAAATAAATAATACGGATAATTGGAAAATGAAAACAAATATTAGACTGCTGTATGCCTGTAGTATCTTTATTTTTCACAGTCTTAGTCATAATCTGTCTTCAAAATGCATTAGTCAAAATGTTTAGGAACTGTTTTGCTTTTTTTACACCTACTAACCTACACAGTAATGGATAACTGAACAATTATCATTACAGAAACTATTAACTGAGTCACTGCATGCAATGTGGAGATCTCAAAGTGACACAGACATTAGGGTTACATCTGAAACCCTACAGAGCTAAATCAGAACAGTACAGTATGTACCTCTTATTTGTACAAAACAGTAAAGCTGTAGTAACTTGAATGCAGGTAATTTATAAATGCATAAGATATCAAAATATATTTTTAAGTTTTATTCTTTCAACAAGATCCAAAGCAAATCTGAAAGATTGTGGGGGTCAGTGATGTTATAGCTAACTGTTGCCAACTGCTAGTTCTGTATGTAAATTATGTTCTTACACACCTAAATTCAGATTCTGCTGTATTTGTTCCAACTGTATATCCTCCCACTTCCTCTCAATCCAATTAGTGTATCAACTATGCATCTGTATTTATAACTTGGCTACACAAACTGCCAATGATGCTTTTTGATTATTCCCCATTAGTGCAGCAACGAGCAAGTTCAAAGCACTACATATTTTTAAAGGCACAACTATCATCTCTGAGATGTAGATAATGTTGAAAGAGCAGTTCAATTTTGCTGATCATTTTCAGTACATGTATCAACGAGTGTATCAGATATCACCTTGCTCAAAGGGACCCCAAGACATTAGTATTCCTGATTTAGAAATGAGTCCAATATCTACACTGAGAGGTACTTAAACCTTTGAGTTTTTAGCCTTTACTGTGCCTTCTGCAACTAATGAATACTAATGAAATTCCACCACTACATGGATAAAAGGGCCTTCTTAATTTTGTGTTCTTTTCTTGGAACTCACAATCTTCAAAGGATCTCATTAAGATTTAACACAAAAGACATGAAAATTCTGTTTTTTTTTCCAAGGCAGGCATTCGGTAACTTGGTTTATCAAGGTTTTCAGAAACCATGCTCTGTGAAAGAAAAAAATAGCTTATACTAACAAAAACAATTATACTAATAACAGTAAATGATAGAAACTACTCAGTAGGTCATAAAAAACAGGATTTTTTCAAAAATGAAATTCTGTAAAATAAAATCTTTAAGTTAATCTTTTATTGGGCTGTTTAGAGAAGACATCTGAACTTAACCCACACGAGACAGAACTGTGAACAAAAAATGTAATATATGTCAGGTGCCAGATCTCTGTACTACAACAGGCATCTTATTAGCTGATAGCACAAAGCATACAGGCTTCTTCAGGCACCATCTCACTCACATGACACGATTTAACAGTAAAGCTCTAGACCTGTGCTTCAAAATTTCAACCAGAAAAACAGATTTTTATTTAGACACAGTAAAGTTTAAGCAGATTTCAATGTTTTCCACATGATAAAAGAAGATTAGATTAAAAAAACAACATTTATTTTACTAACTCCTTGGTTTGGCACTTCAGCTGCCATAATGATTAAGTTCATCAGATAATAGATAGATAAGACTTTATTGATCCCAAAGGGAAATTGATGAAAGAAGGTAATAGATTCATTACAGGCATTTCCAGATTTAATAGATACAATCAAAGAAATAATGTTGAGCCTTTGAATTATCATTTCTCTATCATAAAACTGCTTAGTTAATTGTAAAACATTCTAAGAAAAAACTCAAACACAATTTAGCATATTATTAGGTATGGATTAAAATATCTAAACATGCCTTAGATTTGTAAGCCTTAAGGCTGCATGTCAGTAATGGTTATTTAGCATTAACATTTATGCTCTTCCAAATTCCTTCATGCTCTTCAGCGGTTTTATTTGAGAGCCAGTTTGGCCGTAGAGGTAGAAGTAGATATTGGCAAACTGCACAGATGGCCTTTGCAAGCTCTAGAATGAAACACAAGTTGAGTTTTGATGGCTAATACAACTCCACCGAAGTGGGGGAGAGTTAACTAAGCATTCTACAAAGAATCGATCGAAGAAGTCAGCAGCATTTGACAAAAATTAAATACAATAGCGTGCTATGCTGCAAGTGATCTGTCCTCCCTGCTGTTCATCTTCAGGAATGTAAAAGGCGGGTGTGCATTCAAAGAATGGCGTTGTTTTAAAATTGAAAGGGCAATAATAAAGTGATCCAGCATGAGAACCAGCCTGCTACAGTCAAACAGTTTTCAAAGCCTCTCATTTCCATCTATCCACTTTTTCAGCCCTGCTGCTGTCACATATTCTTTTCTTGCACCAGAAACATGAATATTTTAGAGTTAAGAAGCTTAGGGGGAACAATGAAATTGCCTGAAGATAATTTATACATCAGCACCATCATGGTAATGCAAAAACTCTCAGTAACGATGCACACAGAGTTGAGACCTGGGACTAATAATGCATTCCATCCATTTTTCCCTTTCACGTCAAGATCTAAGAACTTCCTGCAGACGACGTGTCATTATTCTGAACCCCTTTAGAGAAAAATAAGGCCAAGGAGACAGCGTTCAAAACTGTGGAAAACTTACAGGTGTAATGAGAAAAAAAAAACATTCTAAAAGCTCAGCTGATAAAATACATTTCCATTCCTTAGGTACACAAGAGGATTACAATAGCATGTCTCATTTTGAGGAAACAAAGCATTAAAACCTTCTCAGCCTCCATTTTAACTATTAATAACATTTATAGGAAGTGTTTAACAGAAACACTAAATGAATTTCTCACTTGCTTACTTTATTATTTACTTACTTTACTTGATTACTGAAGTTTTTTAATTACTTTACTAAACTTAGCTTATTTAACTTGCTTATTTACTTATACTTACTTATTTAACTAGCTTGTTTGTTTACTGATTTAACTTACTAACTGCTTTACTTACTTATCTTACTTTACTTACTTAACTTGCATGCTTATTTTACTTGCATACTTATTTTCTTTAAATTATTTATTAGCTTGCTTACATTACTTGCTTACTTACTTTACTTATGTAATTTGCTTACTTGCGTACTTACTTCACTTACCTTACTTTCTTTACTCACCCCTTCTCAGACATCATAGGCCGAGCCATCTAAATATGTCGAATCAGTTTTAGTGTTATACTTTTAATGACCAAAAACAACATTTTTTTAACTGTTTCTCAAAACATTGAAAATGCATGTGATCTCTTCATCTTAACATTACCATTAAGTTTTCAAAACAGCAAAACTATTTTTAATAAACAAACAAATCAATGGTATAATGCTGCCAACAACACTTCAGACAGAAATTGCACAATGGGAGTAATATAAATATTTTTACTAGCAAAATCAATACCAATGACTATACTGTATATCAAACGTCACAGGAAAGCCTAAGCTTTTCACCTGTGTTTCATAACCAGATACAAAAGCATCTCGATTCATTCAAAACAAATACACTACTAGATAATCTCTTTAGGCAATTTAAGCTCATGCTTTCATTCACTTATAAAACATTCCTGATTTAGCTCTTTAAAACCTTAAACTATAAATAACATTTTAGGACGGGATTATGCCAGTATTAAAGAAAGGGGCTGCAGTATTCCTTAAGCCATAAATGTTCTAGTAGAATCAGATAATTTATCTATCAATCCATCCAGACAGCTAAAATGAGCAAAATACTACTAAGCCTATTCATTACATGGTCTCTGCAACTCAGCAAGCAATGAAAACATTGATTTCAACTTACAGTTTAAGTAGAGTTCTTTAAAAGAGACAAAGGTTTGGCAGGGAAAGATGCTGTTATTTTTATAGCTCCACTCCATGTGAAAATGAAGAAAATCTAACTTTTAGTGAAGGAGAAACTTCCAATGCAGTAATACTAGTTGCTTTTTTTCTCTGCTCTGGAGCTAATGTGAATAAATGTGACATCTTAAACTTGCAAAACAGACATTATGTTCGCTGCTAAATCAGAATGTTGCAGCTTGTAATGATCTTTGCATCTTTACTTTTAGGGAACACATAGAACACATTCTAAACATAGAATGTACAATCGTCAGCGTGGCTTATAAATGTTCTTGATTCCCATGTTAGATGTATGCCAGAGAATGACAAAAAGAGATACTGATTTGCTTGTGTTTACAGACAGAGCACTGCATTCCATAGGCAGTGAGGTGCTGATATTTGTGACAAACACATACACTAACAAGCTCCAACAAATCGCCGTGCTAGCAGGGTTATCAGGATGACCAAGACTGACACTTCAAGGATTCATGTCAATCCAGTGGTTGTCACGCCAGCTGCTGCTTTATGATTTGATACTGGAGTTATTTATTTTCAGACACATTTGAGTTGCATAGCTAGAGTAATTATCTCACAAGCAAAACAGTTTGAGTTGGTAACTGCTGCCTAGCTGGAGTGAAGATGATGTTTTCAGTTTGTCACTCTTGCAGCAGAAGAACAGTAGGGATCCACGTCAATTATGATGTTACTCCAACCCATTACTCATTCAGCAACAGAACAATGCAGTCAGAGCAGAATGAGCACTCATGTCAACAGCTGCTGTCCATGGTACTGAAACCCCATAACGTTATCATACTTG